ATAGCAGCTTCCTGGTTCATCACTTGTAGCTCCTGCGTTACTCAGTTCTCAGACATTTGTCATATTGATCATATTACACTCGTGTTTTATTTACTGATTATTGGAGGGATTATTGTAAAGCTAAAAATAAAAATACGGCAATATTCATCCAGAAAAAAGTTCCAAATGTTTTGCACTTAACTAGAGCTGCATCATTGTCATAGAAAAACCCCCACAATGCAGCACTGTCTCCATGCTGAACTGGAGATGCTTGTCCACGCCTTCATCTCCTCCTGGTTAGACTGTTGTAAATCACTCTTTTCCTGTCTGTTCCTTAAATCACCTCCAAGTGGTCCAAAATGCTGCAGGCTTTTAACCCACAGTAATAAAGTCTCCCATATCACTCCCATGTTAAAATCCTTGCACTGGCTTCCAGTTGGGTACAGATTTAAGTTTAAAATCCTCACTTTTACCTATATCGCTGAGCTTCTCCAACCCTACTCTCCAAAGCAGATTCGTAGATCCACTGATAGCGGTCTTCTGTCTGATCCACGGACCCGTTTAAAAACGGAGCAGGATCGTGCTTTTCAAAGCTCCATACTGTGGAACAGTTTACCTCCCCCACTACGCACCATCGACTCTGTGGCTTCTTTTAAAAAACAGCTTAAAACACATTTGTTTAAACAGGCATTTGGGTAATGTTTGTGTGTAATATGTTGTTTTATTTTATATGTTTTTATACTCCCATGTGAAGCACTTCGTAATAGCTTCTTGTCTTAAATTGCTATATAAATACATTTTACTTTTACTTACTTACATAAAAAACATGACATCAAATGTAAACAAGCTGATTTCCTTGAAAATAGATTTTTCACCAAATAAATATCAGTTCATGTCACTGGAGGAAATGCTGGGACCTGGACTGGACTAATTAACCGACAGAGTGAGTCAGTTTGATTGGTGGATCTCCCGTCTCCTCTTTGTCTGATTGGTGGATCTAGTTTTATAACTTGTCCCACATATTTTTAATCTACCTTCCTAATGTTTCAGCAGAGGTCTCAGCAGCGTGTTGACTCACACTACAGACAGCCGGGTGCAGGAGGGTGTTCGGTCCTCTTTGGGCACCTTTACAGCGTATCCTCGCACAACTTGCAACTTAAATAAATGATAAATAAATCAATACTACATCTTCCCTCTATCTTTCTCATTAGGATCCAGCTACAATGATAGACCTTTAAAACTGGTATTAAATAGCACTTAAATCTCCTCCAGTAATCTGATTTAAAACTGTAAATTTGACAAAGAACCACTAAAAATGGGTATCTTGTTGTCCATGTGTCTTTCTCTAAAACGGTTCCTTAAAGATCTCTTTAAAAAGCTTCAGTGTGGAGTAAACTAATGTTCTTTGATTGCGCTGCAGCTTGTGACTTTTCTTGTTTACAGTCGTTTCTGAGTTATCATCCAATTAAAATGGTGAATTTAGTTTTCCTGTCACTTCAGCGTCACATCTTCTGATTCTTCTTCTTCGGGACTGACCTTCATCTCCTTCAGGAAGCTCCTCTTCCTCTTCATACTCAGTGTCTTCATCAACATCGACCTGAAAAGACAAACAGCCCTCAAAGTAAAAGATCGCTGATAGTTAACTGAAACATTACAGTCGGAGTTTGATGTTCACCTTCACTTCTTCTTCTGCAGCTTCCTCCTCTGCTCCCTCCTCCTTCTTACTGAAGAGACAAAATACAACAGTGCAGTCAGAAGTCAACAACTAGCTTTTATTTCTTCCTCCCCTCTTTCCTTTTGTCCTCCGTCCATCACTTACTCTTTTTTCTTGTCGTCACTGTCTCCTCCTGCCAGGTTGTCCACGGCGATAGCCAAGAAGACATTCAGCAGGATGTCTGATGCTCGTTAAGGATGCTGATGTTTTCACAGGTTACTACTCATAAAACAACAAAGACGATCTTCACCTTGAGCACAATCATCCAATAGGAGATCATTGTTTCAGTAAAACTTTGAGCTTTGAGAACTTTGGTGCATCAGGAAGATTCAAGGATACAGTTACCACAGATGAAGAGGATGACAAAGTAAATACAGACGATCATCCCGGGAAACACGGGGCCGCCGTATGCCATGATGCC